CCATATGATCCAGCAATCCCACTCCTGGGCATATATATGGAAAAGACAAAAACTCTAATTTGAAAAGATACATGCATCCCAATGTTCACAGCAGCACTATTTACAATAGCCAAGACATGGAACCAATCTAAATGTTCATCGACAGATGAATGGATAAAGAAGTGGTATATGTATACAATGGAAATAATGCCATTTGCAGCAATATGGATGGACCTAGAGATTATCATACTAAGTGAAGTAAGTCAGACAGAGAGACAAATATTATATGATATCATTCATATGTGCAATCTAAAAAAAAAATACAAATGAACTTATTTACAAAACAGAAATAGACTCACAGACATAGAGAACAAACTTATGGTTACCCAAAGGAAAAGGGGGGTAAGGATAAATTGGGAATTTGGTATTAAGAGATACACACTATTGTATATAAAATAGTTAAAAAACAAGGACCTACTGTATAGCACAGGGAACTATATTAAATATCTTGTAATAATATATAATGGGAAAAAATCTGAAAAAGAATATATATATGTGTGTAAACTGAATCACTTTGTTGTACACCTGAAACATTATAAATCAACTGTACTTCAATTAAAAAATATTATGCACATAACTTACCGTATGACTCAGTCATTCTACTCCTGAGCATCTACCCAAGAGATATGAAAACATATATCCATACAGGATATGTAAAAGAAGCTAGATGCAAAAGACTACATATTGAATGAGTCATTTATATGACATTTTTAGAAAAGGTTTAACTACAGAGAGAAAAAGCAGACTAGTGTTTGCCTCAGGTTTAGGGTAGGAGCAGGGATTGGCTGCAAAACAGGAACAAGAGAACTTTTAGCGGTGAAGGAAATAGTCTAAAGCTGGATTGTTATTATGCTTGCATGATGATAGGTGAATTTTATGATATATAAAATATACATCAATAAAGTTTTTTAAAAAAGGAATGGGACAAAAACCAAAGGAAAAACTGGGGCATATATCCAGTTCCCCAAACCATCCACAGACTTTACTTAGGTTAAGAATTTATATATATTATCTATATTTGGGTTAGTTAAACAGATGATTGTTTATTATTAAACAGGAATTTCAATAACTGTTCAATGCTAAAATTATTTGTCCTCAAACAATTTTTGTAAGGAAATCTTACATTTTTTGTTAACTACACAAAAGACACAGCTTTCTACCGCAATTCCCAATACAAGGCTAATTGAGTAACATTACATTTCTGGATAGAGAAATGAAGGCAACCAGAGAGACTATTTTTCTTGCTCTTACTCTAGCTTACCTACAGTGAAGACGTGTCCTGGTTTACCATATTTAAAATTGTCAGGACAACTCTGGGTGTCCTCTTTTTACTCTCAAAAGTGTCCTGGGTCGAGTGAGAAATAATACAGTCAACCTGTCTATAACAGAATTACTTTCAACATTAATCCTTAATTTTCATTACCATGAAGGGGAACTCCTGAAAGATTTGAAAGACCTTAAATAAGCTACAAGCCATACAATCATAAAAATTTCAGTTAGTCATTTTACAAGTGAGGATATGGGGCACAGAAAAATTAAAACAAGAAGCCCCAAACCACATTTTTTTGATTAGGGGTCTTTAACACTACCACAGCACTTTTTATAGAATAAGAGTTTCTGGGAACTTCCCTGGTAGAGCTGCGGTTAAGACTCCGAGCTCCCAATGCAGGGGGCCTGGGTTTGATCCCTGGTCAGGGAACTAGATCCCACATGCATATCGCAACTAAGAGTTTGCATGCCACAACTAAGGAGCCCACGAGCCGCAACTAAGGAGCACACGTGCCACAACTAAAAGAGCCGGTGAGCTGCAACTAAGGAGCCCACCGGCCTCAACTAAGGAGCCCACGTGCTGCAACTAAGAAGCACATGTGCTGCAACTAAAGGAGCCAGCAAGCTGCAACTAAGAAGCCCGCCTACTGCAACTAAGACCCGGTGCAACCAAATAAATAAATAAAATAAATAAATATATATATATATATTAAAAAAGAAAAGAATAAGAGCTTCTGATGGGTAAGTACTATTTCTGTAGGCAAAGTACATTTTTCTCTTGGAGGTGGTAATTATTACTATCTCCGTTTCACACATGAGGAAGGAGGTTTTAAGAAGTTCATTACTTTGCCTAAGGTTAAAAGGTGGTTAAGTTGTGGAATTGGGATGCAAACCTTGATTCCAAAGCTTGACACTTAACCTCTAAGCCTAATGCCTCTCATGAAAGGGAACACGGGCTTGGGTACAGGGATGTGCATGTGCACCTGTGTGCAGTGTAGCCAAAGCAGTTCTTGAGTTGAGGTTCATGAGACTAGGGATTCCATGAGCTGGTTTGAGAGCCTGTATCATTAAGAAATTATATATAACATTTCCTATGTGTATATAAAAATATTTTTTCGAGAGAGAGAATCTAGAGCTTTCACCAGATCCTCAAAAATATTTATGACACAAGAAAAATTAAGAACCTTTTAGATTGCTTTGGTAGGGAGGTTAAACTTTTAAGATAACCTATATATTTTACATATCGGATATCAGTCATATCTAGAAGATTTTTTTTTTTTTTTTTTTTTTGCGGTACGCGGGCCTCTCACCGTTGTGGCCTCTCCCGTTGCGGAGCACAGGCTCCGGACGCGCAGGCTCAGCGGCCACGGCTCACGGGCCCAGCCGCTCCGCGGCATGTGGGATCCTCCCGGACCGGGGCACGAACCCGTGTCCCCTGCATCGGCAGGCGGACTCTCAACCACTGCGCCACCAGGGAAGCCCTCTAGAAGATTTTGTCAAACAACAAAACTAACAAGCAAGTATCGAGAGGCAGTATATATTAGGTATATATATTATATACTAGGTATGTAAATATCACAATTATATAATGTGGTATTTTAGATTTTGTATTTAAAAAAAAAGGGTCAAGCTCTCACTTGCTATAGAATATGACCCAGTAGTCATAACACGAAGCAATGAATTATGGTAGAGATGTTTACTACTGGTGGCTAAATTCTGTTGAAGTAGCTGTGTATTAAGCAGAGTTTTCATATATGCTATACCAGCCTAAGGTAAGATTAATTTAGAAGTACAACATAAGAAAGGTATATAATTTGGGAGTAGTAAGGACACTGAGTTGCATTAAATCAAATCATTTTCTGCTTCTGTTTCTTGATAATGAACACGAGTTGATTTTCTTAAGAAGGGCAATAGTATTGGTAGGAATTTTGGGAGCATCTCTTTCTTTTTTTTCTTTTTTAAGTATGTATCCTTTTACCTCTGTAAAAATATTGTCTTCAACCCCTCACACAACATAGAGGCAACATACTAGCATTTTTGTCCTGGGATAACATTCAGCCAGATACCCCAGTAAAACTGTACATTGTTACATTACTGAAAGGCTTCTATACAGATTGTTATTAGGATAATAGTAACTGTATTACATGGTAAAATTCATAATAAAAATTTCAGTATGAATTCATTAGTTCAAATTATTTGCCACTGAATGTAATAACAACTACTGGCACAAGTGTCCTGTTGTAGTGTGACTTAGTTGCCACTGAATATATATAACTTAATGAATATATATAAATACTGACACTGAATATTTAACAGTTTTTGACAACATTATAAAAATAAGAAATTTTTAAATGAATTGCTGCTAGTTCAGCAAAAGCTGAGAGGATTTAGCACTATGAACAATATTTTTATATTGGAGAAATTCTCTCCTTATTGAAACTATCCAATGATGTAATCCTGCAGTGGCAATGGAGGACAGTAATAAGACCTTGAAGTGGTGCTGGTATAGATGTGGACAGCCCCCATTTGGCTGTTTAATGGGCCAAGACAGCTCTAAGGGCAAGAGTGATACCCACCTACTGCTTTTTAATTTATATACTAATATCACGTTATCAACTCTCTATGTCTCTAAGAGATAGGAAAAAGAAAGCCAGCTACCATTTTTCATTCTTTTGATTCTGGCCTATTTTTCCTTTTAACCTTTCCATACTACAAATGAGTAATCAAAAATGGATACTTCCTCCAAGTTCAGGGAATATGAGCACACTGTCTGTGTATTCCAATAACTAAACAGCTTTGGGACAGGTTCTGATAACACTGCAAATAGCTACACTGATTAAATACAGGGGATCCTAAGAGTTTCAAATGGTTCATCTGAGGTTTCTTCAACTTCAGGTGTCCTTGTAAATTTGCAGGATGCTCCTTCAATGGTTGCTATGCCTATGAATTAATGTTTATAAGGTTGAAGTTAGAGTTCTATCACACTAAACTTTACAAAGAGAAAATATATTTAACAGTCAACCCTAAGCAAACAGTCTAAACTGTAAATGTGTAATGCTAGGTAAAAGAAATGACAAGAAGAGTTGTAAACTTATCTCCTCCACTACTGTAAATAAAATCAAAGCTTAGATCCTCTTGCCAATTTGCATCATCATGGACTTTTCCAAAGGACTGTGGTCCCCAAGCATCTTTTTTCAATTTTTTCTCACAACAGAGAAAGTATTACAGCCCTGAGCGTAAGGGAAGAAAAAGACAAGAGAGGACAGGAGGTTTCAGACTTTGAATTGCTTCTGTCTAGGCTCTGATACCCTGAAGGAGCTGGAGTGTTTGATCATTATCCATAGTATGAAGACTCAATGGTTAGGAAATTCCAAAGGTGGTCCTTCTGCGATCTTCACATTAACTATGTTCCCAGTTTTAAAACATAAATGGAAAGAGTAGACAGTATTATTCCATGATCTATGAAAACTTAAGTCTATTAATTTTTCTTCCTGATTTCTCTTCTAAATTTACTATATCCTCATTCAAATTTTATTTCTCTTCTTTAGTCCCCCCCAACACCTTCTCCCTCTGACTCCAAGCCCATCTCAAGTGAAAGAGTATGGTTTATAAATCTATATGTCAGTTTGAGAATGGGAAACAGTTAAAGAAAAAAAAGCTTTGGACATAAAAATGGATTTGCCAAAACTCACCATCAGAGGGCACAACAGTACTGCAATAAACAACTCCGCTAGGCCAAGAAGAGAGCCTTTGGTGCACCTAGAAAATACATAAAGACACATCCATTGTCAGTACACAACAACAAATGTTATATGCACATGTGTATGTATATAATAAATAATAGCTTTTTAATTATTTAAATAGTATGTATTCTTTGTAGAAAAATTTAAAAATACAGATAAAAGAAAAGTCTCTCAAACTCCTATCATCCTAAGATGATAGTGATGAACATTTTGGTTTCTTTCAAGATAAACCAGTATTTCACCATAATTATAATTTGCATTTTTTGTACTAAGAGTGATAATCTATACATGTTTTAATCTGAGTTACTTGTATTTGCTTTTCTATGCACTGAGTATTTACATCTTTTGCCATTTTTAAAATTTGGATCTTGGTCTTTGAATATTATTTTGTAGAAGTTCTTTAAATATTAAGAAAATTATCCCTTGGTCAACGAAATATGTCATAAAAATTTCCGTTTTTATTTTTACTTTGTTAATGGTGTTTTTGTATGCACACAATTTTCATGTTTTAAGAGTCAAACTTTTCAATCTTTTCTGTGTGGTTTAACGGTCCTGTGTCATATATCAGCAGCTTTCCCTACTTCGAGAATACTATAAAATTCTTCCATGGCTTCTAGTTTGATTTTTCAAGTTTAAATCTTTGATTTATTAGGAATTAATTTTAGTCAGTTAAGAAGCAGCAATCCAAGTAACCTCTAATGATAACACAGCTAACCGTTATACTTAATAATTCATTTTTCCCTCTTATTTGAAATGCTACCTTGATAATTTTCCAAATACCTATATGAATTTGGATCTTTTTCTGTCCAATGATCTATATGCTCATGTCGTAGTAGCCACACTTTTTTAAATATCCTAGCTTTATATTTTTACATCTGGCAGGGTGGGATAGTTTCCCTTATTACTTTCCTTTAAGAATTTTCCTGGCTATTTTTGCTTATTTGTATCTCCATATGAACTTCAGAGTCAGTATTTCCAGTTACACACAGATACACACACACACACAAAATCAGCTTCAAAAATAACACAGCACTGTGATTAAGAGCATAGAATCTATAATCACTCCTGAGTTCAGATTCTGATTCTGTAACTTACTCTAACTGCAATCTTTGCAAGTTCATTAGCCTCTTTGTGCCTCAAGTTTCTTCACTGAAAAATGGACAAAACGTAATACTAGCACCTACCACATAAAGTTGCTGTGAGGACTAAATGATGAATACACATAAAGCACTTAGAACAGTGCCTGGCATAGAATAAGTATTCAATAAATGTTAGTTTTTTTGTTTGTTTGTTTTGAAGTTGAGATCTTATTAACTCAATGGATTAACATAAGGAAACTGACATCTATGTGATTTTTGAGTCTTTCTTAATCAAGAACCTTGTAAGCCTTTCTATTTTAGTCTTTGTGTTCCTGAGAAGCATTTTAAGGTTTTCTTTATTCAGATCTTATATGTCCCCTTTAATCTAATGTAATTCTTTTTGTACTAAGTCTTGTCCAATACTAGGATCATGACCCCTGAATTTTTCCTTTTAGTTTGCAAATGCCTGTTAATGCTCTGCCTGTCCTTTAATTTTATTATTTTTCCTGAGTTTCTTTGTTTTAGGAATGACTCTATAGTTTTCTTTGTGATCTAATCTGGGATTCTTTTAACAGAAAAGTTTAGCCTGTTTATACCTATTAATATAATGTATATTTAATATCCTTTCAGTCATCAAATTTTATGCTATAAAATTTTTGTTTTTTGTTTTTATTGCTGCTCTTTCTTCTTAAAAATAGTTTACTAAATGGTCTATGTTTTAGTTAAACATGTACTTCTAATATTAATATGGAAAGTTTATTTTTATTTTTTTTGTATTAGTAGTCATTTTAGAGTAAGATCTAAGTTCTTTGAACTGCCTTTAAGGCCCAGTATTATCTGATACCCTGTTATCTCTGTGACTTCACCTCCTACCATTCTGCCTCTCAATCATTCTGCTTTAGCCCCTAGGCTCTTTTCTGGTTTTTTGTATGGACCAGCTATACTCTTGTTCCAGAACCTTTGCAATAGCTATTACCTCTACTTAGAATATTATTTCTCCAGAAAACTATCAAGCTCCCTCACTTCCTTCAAATCTTTGTTCACATTTCACTTTCTGAGTGAGGTCTACTCTACCCAACCCAATTAAAAATGGCAATTCCATCAGTTGGTACTCCTGATATATATATATGTATATATATATATTTTCCATCTCTTATTATGAGCAATGATGAACTTATAGTTATGTGTCTTTTTCCCTCCCTTCTATTATCCAGTTTATTTTATTTATTATGTAACTTTTCTTGGTGTTTATCTATCTATATACCTCCCCCCAACCCCACATACTTCTTTTATTGAATTTATTGATTTTAGATGACATATTTTGACAGCGTGTTAAAAAACTGGGGTTTCTACCACTTTACATCATTTGTCCTGCACCCTTCCAACTTTCGTTAGAAAACTGTCAACATTGTCAAAATTTTAAACATTCATACTCTGCTCTGCAAAACCTAATCTTCACATTTGTTTTAATCTTAATTTTATAGATTGATGGACTCTAGGCTTACTACCAATACTTCAACTGTCGTTTTTCCTTTCATTTCTTGGTTGGCTGAACTTCATCTTATAGAGGTAGGACTCATGAGAGCTAACTTCCCTAAACCTTGGCATGTTAAAAAATATTTGTCTTTGCCTTTATACTGAATGATTATTTGGCTTGGCACAAGATTCCTAAATTAATCTTTCCTTGAGGACTTCGTGGGTAAAGTTTTAGTGTTGATTGCTGCTGTGGAGAAGTCTGAGGCCAGCCACTTATTTTGGAGAACCAAGCTCTCTGAGCTTTGCTGGGGATCTGCAACCATATCATAGGCATCCTCTTTTGGGGTCTTCTCACATACTCCCTTTACTAGATCTGGCAGCCGTTCTTCAGTATTGTGCTTTGGGATTGCAGAGATCTCTCTGGTCGTACTGAAGATGGAGCTTGTATTTCTGTTTCTTATTCTCCTTTCTATTTCAAAGTGATTCCAAGAGAAGGAAGAAACTGCTACCACTACTGGGCCATTATTTCTTTAAGTGGTAACTTTTTAATATGGACTTTTTCAAACTTACACAGAAGTAGAGAACACAGTGTGATGAATTTCTTCCATTCACCCATCACCTGCTTCTATATTTACCAACATTTGGTCAAACCTGGTTCATCTATATGAACCAGGTCTTTTCCACAGAGTATCTTAAAGGAAATTCCAAACATCATATTGCTTTACCTGAAAATATTTCAGTATACATCTACTAGGCCATTTTAAAACAGGAAATCCTCTGTCCTCTATGATTTTACAGATTATCCTCAACATTAATAAAAGATGTGTATCTGGGGCAGAGAACTAAATAAATACATGGCTGTTTATGAATATTATTTGTTAGAATGCTATAGAACATGGGTTGGCAGGCCAGCCACCAGTTTTTGTAAATGAAGTTTTATTAGAACACAAACTCATTTATTTACTTAGTATCTAGAGCTCATTCATCTACTTTGACACTACAACAGCAGAGTTGAGTAGCTGTGTAGTTGCAGGAGAGTTGAGTAGCTGCAACAGAGACCATACGGCCCACAAAGCCCAAAATATTTACCATATGGCCCTTTAAGAAAATGTTTGCTGATCTTTGCTGTAGAACCCCTCTGTTGTTTTGAGATAATTCACTTTCCCACTTTCCCAAAGTCTTCCCAGTCACTTCTACAATGACATTGGCAATTACAAAATATTACTTAGTAAGTGTCCACAAACACACATAGGTCCTTTTCTTTCTTTAACCCTTCTAACAGCCTATAGTCTAATAAGGCCAATGGGAACAAAAATGATTTTGCTCTTGCCTTTTTTCTTTGAAATATGGCAACAATAACAACAACAAACAAAAGCAAAACAAAGACAAAAAAATATAAGGAAAGGAATATAAGTGTTCAAGACCAAAGAGGCACTGGCATTCTAAATTGTATTCCATGACTCTCCTAGACTGAAATGTATTTTGTTGTTTAAATTGTATGTTCTTAATAAATCACAAGAAAATAGGAAGAGTTTAATAAATAATTGATGCTGAACGTTTTAAAAATATGTCAAGAAAGTAAAAAAAGAAAAACATTCAGGCAAATGGCATGTATTATTCACATATTTAAACTTCATAGGCAGAGAACAAGATTAAGGTTAAGAAAGTCAATATTCAGAATGAGCAGAAATCATCAGAGAAAGAGTAAACCTCTAGGCAATCAATGCCAACTGAATAAGGTGATTTGGTGCCTACTCGGTCCCTTGAAAAGAAAATACAAGTTTATACTTTTGGTATGATAGAGTCCACATCTTTGATAAGTAACTTGAGAACCTCTAGGAAAAACAGGGATTCGAGTGAAGTAAAGGAAAGTATTAACAACTGCCCTGGTATTACAACCATTACCCTTAAATCTTAACCCCAGGAGAAGAAAAATGCTAGCATTATCAAGTTAAGAGTCTGAGTACAAAGCACTGTAACTTTATTTTCCCAAGTCATAAGATTCAAGATAATTTTAAAAAACAAACTTTATTATTATAAAAAGACATTCCATGACCCCAGAGCAAATTATTAAATTCAAGTCAAAACTAACTTTAAAATCCTTTAGTTCTATCATAAATTATGCAATTTCCCCTACACACACCATTCACTGTTCAGAAGAGCAAACTCAGCAATGTATTCCTGCCAGCAACTTGGGAAGACTGTCAAGTCTAAATAACCTGTCAATACCCTGCAAATATTCACAGCCAGTTGGACATTAAACCAGAGGCGGGGAAATAGAAAAAAATAGAGAAAAAAAGAAAGAGGAAAAAGGTATTTCCTTATCAACCCAGTTCCCTTTATTTACGAAAATCTTGGGACCTAATTTTATTAGGAAACAAATATCTGTTACCTATGTTAAACTGTATAAAAAATACTACATTAACTATGTCAAAAAGCTTTAGACGGAATAATTATATAT